AGATGTGGATCTCTAAGAGGAGGAACCTAGCAGAATGTTATTAGGAGGTCATGGGGGTACCACCTGGGGCAGAGGTTAATGCTGGTTTCACAGAGTAGATGAGGTCTTGAAGACTGGGTTAGTGACCATGGGAGCCGGCTGTTATAAAAAAAAAAAAAAAAACAAGTCTTGCCCTTCTCTGCTTCCCTGCCTGTATCTTGTATCTTGGCTGGTTCCCTTTTTGCTTCTCTGCCATGTTGTGATACAACTAGGATGCAGGTGCCATACTATGTGAACCTTCCAGCCACCAGAATAGTAAGCCAAATAAATTTCTTTATAAAGTACCTAGTACCAGGTACTATATTGTAGCAACACAAAGAGTAGTAAGACACAGGATTCAGCCTGGTCATGGCAATCATATTAAGTAGTACTAATCTTTCACTAAACTATCACTTAAAGACCACTGATATTTTCCTTTATGAAATATGCTAACTGGAATAAAATTATTTTCAATTATTTTTTGAAGGCAAAAATACCTTTAAAAGGGATATTTCATTAAAGCATCATCTAGGAAGGGAAAATCATGATAAAGAGTTTTCCCCAAAACACCAAAGGTTGAATGTTCTCTCTGATATGCAGACGCTAACATACAACAGGGGAGAGGGGTAGAAGTTCAGTGGATTAGGGGAATGAAGGGAAGGAAGTGGGGCAGGAACAGGAAAGACAGTACAATGAATTGGACATGACTTTCCTATGTTCATATATGATTACATCACCGATGAAACTCCATATCATGCACAACCACAAGAATGGGATCCTAATTACAGTAAGTTATACTTTGTACATATAATATGTCAAAACACACTGTACTGTCATATATATCTTAAAAAGCACAAAAAAAAAACACATGGAAGAGAGTTTTCCATAGCTAAATTTCAACCATGCTGCTAGCAAAATATTCCCCTATCAGGCACAGGCATCATCATCATCACCACAACCACAACTGTCACACTCACTATTCACTAGTAATAATAGCAAAATAGATGCCCTATATAATAAAAAGTAAATGAGCATATATAAATTGACTCACAGCATGTCACTCTTCAATGTTTCCCTTTGGGAAAAAACTCAAATCTTCTACAGCCAGGCCCACAATAGCCTGAATCCCTCTGCTGTCCTGGTCAATCCCTTTTCCCTCCAGCTCATACACCACTTGCTCAGACATCCTTCCTTGTCTACCCAGTCTCCATTCTGAACCCCCTTTCCTCACAGCTCTTTTCACAATGTGCAGTTTCGTGTGTATTCACATGATTCTTTATTGTTTCCTACTCACTGGACGATTAGCTCCATACTGATGTGTTTGTTCACTGCAGTCTATCCAATACTTGGCATAATGCCTAGTCATGGAAGGTGCTGGATAAATATTTGTTGAGTAAATGAGTGGGTGAATACATTACTAAAGGCCCTGTGCCTATGTAACAGAACAGCCAGAAATAAAACAGGACATTTGATTTTTTTTTAAATGCATTAAATGATCAGAAAAATACCTGTATTATTCCAAGAGCAATTATGTGCACAAATAAAGACTATACAAACAGAGATTACACAACAGCGGCACATGTTTGCCACCCTAATCTGCTTTTGCTTGGACATTGGCATGCGTAGGAGACTAAAAGGTCCTGTTTCCCAGCTGCTTCTTCAATCATCAAAGGGGTATCCATCCTTGTTCAGCCCTACATTATGGGGCAAAGAAAGAAAGAACATAGACAAAAGGCACAGTGCTCAAGTCCTAACATACCCACCCTTCTAGATTTCACTTTCACAGCCCTAATCAAAGATAAACCTTTTATTTCCAATACTAAAGAATCAAAAGTTCTAGGACATGCAAACTACTGTCATTTCAGGTGAAATAGTTTTTGCCATGGGACTGGCATTCTCATGGGACATGGTGTAAGCAACAAGCAGGACAAACAAAACAGTCCAGCAGAGTCTGGATAGAGCCTGGAGCCAGGTACTCAGGGAGAAAGGTCCCAAAAAGCACCAAAGAAAGAGAAATTGGGGTAAATTAACATATAACTGGAGAAGCCAAGTAGATCAATAACCATAGCAAATAGGGACAGACTGAAGAATGGAATGTGTAATTAGAGTAGATAAGAAAGTGTGTATGCACAAGTAGAATGAATAGAATATTATGTTCACTTCCAAGTGACACTGGCTGTAAAGTGTACTGTATGAGTGGGAAAGTGGAGCAGAAGTGACAGCTTCTGAAATTGAAAGAGTTAAAGTACAATGAATCTGAGAAGCTACAGGGTCCAGGAGAAAGACACAGGGCTGCACTGGGGCACCAAAATACACAGAGGCGAACTATAGGTCAGCAAGGTCCACAAATCTGGGGGAAAGATAGCTTAGATTAATAATCTCAACAAGAAGAGACTGGAAAGGAGTAGCAAAATAGAATCATTGCTAGTTCTATGAACTACAAGAAACGGAAATAAGAAGTGCATAGTAAATACAATCAGATCAAGTTAAATATGCAAGAGGCTGTGTTTACATCTGAATGGGGCTTCAAAGTGAAAGGGGCCAAGAGAGCAAACCTAGCAGGAGGAGTGGTAGGGCCAAGCTGCTGAGTGATGCCAGTTTGGCAGGGACCAGAGAAAGTGAAAGGATTTGTAATTGAGGTCAGAAATTCATGTAGGGAAGAAGAAAATAGATTCAGTACCTATTCCTTGTCCTAACCATTATTCAGTACTTACTAAGTACAAGAACCTCAAGGTAGAGGCACAAAGATGAATGAAGTTAGGACAGCACTGGGAAGTCAACTCACAATAAATATGCCTGGTCTGCCATCTCCCTTTACCGCACTGGGTGACCCAGGTGCAGTCTATCAGATTCTCTCTCTTGGAAAATTGAGGAGACAGAAGGTGACTAAAATCAAGTCACTGCACATGAAAAGAATATCCAAGTGAACTCTTGTTGATACTCCATTTCTCCTCTTAATGAAACCTGGTTACCCAACTTTTCCTTGATTCTGAGAGCTATTCCTATTCTATCCCGTAAGAATTTCCCCATTTTTGCTTTTTATTTAAGTTCAGAATTTCTGTTGCTTATAACCAAAGTGTATTATCTGTTTCAACATTGTTTCCGCCTGTAGGCAATCTGCTTATTTAATAAATGAGTAATCTAAGACCCTTAGAATACATTTTCCCCAGATTACAACATAAGAAAGGTAAAGACCAAAACCTGATGTGACTTACTCTTAGTACTGTGGGTAATATGTTTAAACACAAACTTAAGACAAAAAGATGTATAATCTAAGTAACTTCAAGTAAAATCTAGATATACAGGTGAAACTTCGGCTAAAATGGGAAATGTGGGAGGTAGGGAATGATAAAAACCACTGATATCCCTATAGTAGTAAATTTTAATATTTCACTGAAAAACAATTATTTTCCTAACTTTTTAAATGTCAGCCATTCTATTACAGACCTAGACTTTTTTAAAAAAGCCAATAACAAGGTACAGACACAGATGAATGTCAACAAATATGCAAAATTATAAGTACCACCTCTACAGTATCAGTACAGTTTTGACACTTAAAACATGCTTAAAAACATTTGTCTTGGTTTTCTTCTACACCAAATATTTTTGTTGTTTACATAAAATGTTTCTCCTAGTTCTTGACCTTCCAAGATTTTGTTGCTATTTGACTTCTTTTTTCAAAATCTTTGTAAAGCTGGATTTCCTTTGTTTTCCTTATAAAATATTCTTTCTTCCCTAAAATATTTATTTTATTTCTCTTTCCCTGGTGAAAACTTGCCCACATTAAACTCTTCTCCTCTGTTTACCTGGAGCTTGATATTTTTTATCTAGTCATTCCCTCATTAGTACAAGACAATCTTAACTGGTACATTCTAACAAACTCTTTCCATAGCTCTGCTTCAGGAACAATAAGGGCTTTTTAAAAATAAAAGCACCCACAAAGGTAATCCATACTATTATCACCATATAAACACCAGCCTGCTTCCAAGAAGCCATCATTTCTCCCTCAATACATGTTTTCAGTAAGATGGGAATCAAGTCTGATTTATTCCAAGTGACCAAAACCCATGAAGATAAACATGTACAGCTAGTAGCCCCATATAAAATACTACAGGTACATATAATTATTTTCTACAAAACGAAACTTTATATACCTCAAATAATTCATCTTATTGGAAAAAAAACTTTCTTAAGTCTAATATGAAAAATATATCAACCAAAATGAAAGCTCCTATTTTCCCCCAGCTGTATATCAGGAAGCAAATTAAATAATCCTTTTTTAAAATATAGCATTTTATTTATTTCAAATAGGTACAGTGGACTTATATCACTTAGGTCTGTCTTCTTCCTATCTTTCCAATAATCACACAAATTTAATTACATGCTCATGGAGAATATGTGAAAACACAAAATATATCCAATTAATAGAATGAAAATTACAAATCTTTGCAGTTTATACCAAGATTCAATACAGAAACTCTTTAGAATAAAGAACATTATATATCTTTCAGCTATTATTCCTCCCCTCCCCCCCCCACATTTTTTATTGGAGCATTAGTTGTACACACTGATGGGATTTGTTGTTACATATTTGTGCATGCACACAATATACAATCAGTTACAGCAATTCTAACTTGATACAATGGTAATTACTTTTCATCATAAAGCAGAGGTTCAAAATGGGGCAGATTTTACCTACTAACCCCCCGTCAGAAGACATCCTACAATGTCAAGTTGTTTTGGTTTTGAACAACTTAGGGGTGGGGAGAGGAGAGTGCCACTGGCATCTAGTGGGTTGAAGCTGGGGATGCTGCTAAATATTCTATAGCACATAGCACAGCCCCTCCCAACATATACCCTGCTTTAGATGGTTGAGAAAATGTCCTATACAAGAACAGGAGTAAAGGAAAGAAAGCAGCTAATAAGGAATAATCATAAATCACCGTTTGCAAGGTCCTCCCAAATAGGCCAAAGTCACCTACCTTGGAAGCCTGGGGTGTGGATATCACATGGACTGTGCTAGGTTTAACACCATTAGCCTTCAGCCGCTTATAGAGAGCAAATCTGCTTTTCCTCCTTCCTCTGTCACCATTAGGTAAAGCACCATTGTACCTAAGAACAGAGATGAGATAGTTCAATTATTTGTGGATTTTAAAAGTTTTAGGCATGAAAGTTAGATGAAATAATGGAAAAGACAGGATTAAAGAACTGCCCACCAAACCACTCACAAAAGGAAAGGGTTACAAAACAGACTTTAGCTGTAATGAAATTCAAATCACTTCCAGAAACTTAATTTAAGAGAGATGTACAAGTAATTATAAATTTCCTATTCTATGGAGTCACTCTTCCAATCTTTTTTGAAACAGAGTATAAATAAGCAGATTCTGCAGAGGCCATATTAAGAAAAGGCTCAATTCAGCTAGCACCATTCTAATGGACCCCAGAGAAACTTAAGAAATATTTTTAAATGAACTAGTTAGAAAATAGCATACTAATTAAACCTCACACCTCATTCTCAAATCATGTTAATGTTGTCTATAAGATTTTTATTTGTAAGAAGATCAAATATAGTTACCTGCTTTCTTTAAAGTTCTGAATATATTCACTCACATTTCTCACTGAACCCTACAATGCTAGGTTAGCAAAAAAATAACTTATACAAATTATGCATTGAATTTTATAGTCCATAAACTGTCAAAAATTTACAGAGTCACCAGGAAAACACATAATATCCTTAAACAGATTTCTTATATATTTTGCTAATATGAGAGTTTAAAAGAAAGGCAAGGTTGCAGTTAGTTAAATTTTTGACTGCATATTCTAACTTTGAATTAACTTGTCCCTGACTATTCAGACCACTGTCCCCTATGGCCACACTAACATGACTATTCATTCTCTGCCTACACTGGCAGAAGTTCCTTTCAAAAAAAGAAAAGGGAAAGGAATCATTTAAAATGCACATAGATAAATATGGCTGTTCCAAAGCTCCCTCAGAATACCAAAGTCAGGGTACAGTGGTTCTGGTAGCTTGTTTCTGACCTAAGGGTCCTGTCCAGCAGATCTCTGGGCTCTCTCCACTTCTCCAGCTCTACCCAGAAGAGGAGATGGGCACCAGGGTAGAGAACTGGGGACATGAGGCCACTGGGAACCACAGACTTTGGAACAAAGGAATTTGGGGTGTTTTAAGAATTGAGTCAGTATCTGCAGTCTGACAATGGTTTTACATAATCAGCAGAAGTTATTCCCACTGTGTTTGTAATCTGTTTCCATTCCCATCAAAAAGGAATGTCAGCTATATAAAAATGTCTCTAGAATAAATGATATTTGTTTCAAGTCTTATTACTCTCCTTTTCAGGCAAGACAGAAAAATGTACATTACTTTCTTAAATATATTTGTGATCACTACTATGGAATATCCATAAGTAAACAAACATCATAGACCCACTTTGTTTTAAGATATTTTCACACCACTTTATTCATGATGAACATTCTGTTAAAGGAAACATATGCAAACCAAATGAAGTCAAGACAGTAAACAATTGAAAACCATTTTCACTACTGTGGTCTACAGAAAATTAAGACAAGATCTAGCAATGTTTCCTGTGCCCCTGGTTTTAACCCAGCCCTTGCTACAACTTTCCCTCAACCACACCTCTGGTCCAGCTCTTTTTAGGCTATTTTCTCACAATAGCACTTCCTTCTCTGGAATCCAGCCCTTAATTCCCAAGGGTGAGCTCCAGCACCACATTTAGAAGAGACAGCCCTGCCAGCATCCTCTCCACCACCCTGCAGCTGACTGGCCAGAGGTGTCATAAGGCCCAAGCTGGCCAATGACATCCTCATCCTGGAAAACACAAAACTGGGAAGAGAAACAACTAACCAAGCCAGCCTCTGTGGGTGGCTACTTGTCTCTGTAAACATGGGGGCCATGGGCATGTCCCAACCTGTATTTGGCTGAAAAAGCAGATAAATTGAAGAATGAAGCAGATGAATACAGAAAAGAAGCAAAAAGAGATAGAAAGAATCCATTAGCCCAGTTGTACTCTGATCCTTGTTCATAAATTTCTTTTTAGTTTCAGCTAACTCAAGTTTGTTTCTGCTATTAACAACTCCAAAGCCATCTCTAACATAAAGTGAGGGAGGGTCCAGAAATGTCAACCTTAATGCATGCAGAAACATTTTAATTTAAATTACTTACACAGAAGTGCACAGATATTGCATGTTAAAGAAATAAAAAAAGTCAGTCTACTTATAGGTTGCCTACTTACTTACATGTCTAGATAATGTTAGGTGAAAAATCCTATGGAAAACTTAAAGTACTGGTGGCAAAACCAGAATCAAGATGAGACGAGCAGCTAATTAGGTTAAGCTACAGCACCATTTATTCAATATTTATAGTACCGAGTACTAGAGCTACAATGATGAATATCAGCTTTCCTGCCTTCACAGAGCTCTCTGCCTAGAGAGAAAGGCACAAAAACAAATGTTATTAAAAAAATTAAAAAAAAAAAAAAAAAACACGCAGAACACGAGGCACTAGCAGCACAGTGCACAGAGGAGAGGACTTAGGGAAGGCTTCATGGGAAGATGCTGCTTGCACTGTCCTGAATCTAACCAGAACTCTGAACTTGTAAGTGTGAGGCAAGTGCCTGCATAAGGCAGGGAGGATGAAGGCAGTTCAATGCCATGAGCTGAAGTTTAAGAGCATAAGAATCAATGGTAAAGGATGGGAAAGGCAGACAGAGGCCAGGTTCTCCAGGATAAAGGACTTACTCCCCCAAAGGGAATGGGAAGTCTGGTAAGATGTAAGCAAATGGATCACATGATGAATATACTTGAGGATATACCCAGGTTAGAGGCAAAATGATCAGCTGGGAGAACCATCATAGCCAGAGGGAGCATGTGGTAGTGGAAATGCTAGCCCTCAAAAAGATATGACCATGTTCTGAAACTTGTGAATATGAGCTTTTAGAAGAAGTCTTTGTAGACGTAATTAAGGGTCTCTAGATTAAATCACCCTGGATTACTGGTAGGCCATAAAGCCAACAGCAAATGTCTTCTAAGAGACACAAGAAACAAAGGAGTGACCATGTGAAAATGGAGGCAGAGACTCGAGTTATGCAACCACAAGTCAAGGAGTACCTGGACCCACCAGAGGCTGAAATAGGTAAGGAAGGATTCTCCTTTAGAACTTTCAGAGATAGCATAGCCCTTCTAACACCCTGATTCAGACTCATGGTCTCCAAAACTGTGACAGAAAAAATAGTTTGTTTACTTTTAAATATTACATTATACTTACATATAATAATGGGGTTCATTTTGACATATTCATAAATACATATAAATAGTTTTCTCCATTTCAATCCCAACAATTTCCTCTTTCCCTCCCTCTTCCCTCCTCCTGATTCCCATTCTCTGCTCCACTGGTCTTCCTTTTGTTTGTTCATTTTTCAACTGGTGCATTATAATTATATACAAAATTGGAATGGATTCTAATATATTCAATGTGCAAAGCATAGTTTGGTCAACTTCGCTCTTTAAGCCAACAAATTGTGGTAATTTGTTATAGGAGCCACAAGAAACTAAAAAGATCTGAATTAAAGCTCTGATGATGAAATGAGCTGACGTATTAAAAGAAAAGTTTTAGAGTTGTTTTCAATGTGAGGTAAACATCAGAATCACCTGGGAAGCCTTATAAAAATATGGAAAGTTAAATCCCATGAGATTCTGATTCAGGAAGTCTGGAATGGACTCCAGGTCTGCATCTGCAGAACCCCACAGGTAATGTTTTTGTGCAGCCACAATTGAGAACCCCAAAATCAACAATACTTGGTGACCTGTCTGGATGCAGAGGGTGAAGGACAGATAAAAGGAAAATCAAGGAGGCATCTGGCCTGGCCAAGGTAATGAAATTATTAGAAACAGGAACAGGAATTAAAGGGCCATTCAGGGGAGACATGCAGAAGGCAACTAGATAGGCAGAGCTAGAGTTCTGGACATAATAAGATTTGGGGGCCTTCATCATGTGTGTCTGTTAAAATCATAGGAATAAATGGGACTTCAAAGAAAGGGCACAGAATTAGGAAGCAAGAAGACTGAGACAGTACTTAGAAAATACAACCATTAAAAGAAACAACCCTTTCCTGAACACAGGCAGAAGGACTAGGACCAGAAGAAAGTTATATCACCAAAGACCAGACAGAATTCCCTCAAGGGTTCATCGGTTCAGCAGTCATCCATGAGAATGAAAATGCACACCCACAATCTGCAACAATGAGCCACTGGTGACCTCACCCATCTTCAAATGAAACAAAGTCAAGCACACAAGCCCTCCAAACCCAGACCTTCCTCTGAGCCTCCAGGTTCGTTCCCATCTTCCACACACAACCAAGAATCCTGAAAAAGTAATCCTTGCCTGCTATCCCACTCTCAGCCTCTGCCTACTCCTCAGCCCACAGTCTTCTGATCTTGGCCACCAAATGTGAAAAGTACATTTGATCATATACACCAGCATCCCTCCGTCACTTCCTAAAGTCTCTTGCAGTGAATCTTCCGTCAAGGAACACCATGTGGCAGCTGAAAAAGGGCCACAAATTCCTCATTACTTCTGCCAATCGATGGAATCAAATTCTCCTCTTTCTAAATATGTGCTGTTTCTAAATATGTACTGACCTTCATGACTTGTGATTTGCTTACCAGCAAGATACAGAGGAAGCAGTGGTCTTAAACTTCTACAACCAGATGTGGAAAGGCCCTGTAGCTTCTGCCTTAGTCCTTCTCTTAGGACTCTGAGCTGCCTCATAAGAAACTCAACTACCCTGGGAGTGGCATGCTAGGAAAGATACACAAAGGCACTTCAATTGCAGTCCCAGCTGATCCTGGTGTGCAATGGGTTGAGGCCACTATGGCCTCCCCATATAAGTCCATCCTGATTACTACCAAGTGACCTCAGATGACGTCAAATGAGAGAACTGCCCAAATTCCTGACTAGAACTGTGTAATAAATAAAATGGTGGCTGCTTTAAGCAACTAAGTTTGGGGGTAGTTGATTATGCACTAATAGATCCCTGGAACAACAAGCCCCAAATCCTCAGCACACTTTCACTTCCCCA